TCCGATATTTATCATTGCGTGAGCTATCTATACTTATTTAATCAATGCTACAACACACATGGTAAGGTATCTGCATGCTGATCGCCGACATCCCGTAATAGTGTTTTGGAACGGAGAAACCGATAAAAAATTGTAAGATAAAATGAAAATACCAAATGTATTAACGTATTTAAATATCAAATCTTATGATAAATATAATGATAATCAACACTATTTTTTGTCACTTCTCATTTTAGCTAATTGTTCTTTAGAAGTATTGATTAAACGCAGTGCTTCAATAAAGTCTACTGATTTAGATTGTAAGTAATTCGATAGTGGTGTTGTAATTGAAAATATTTTTCTTAATAATATCATTGTTATAACAAAATCAAACGATGATATTACGTTCAAGAAATTTTTTGCACCAGATGATGTTACTCTGTCAGTTGATTTAAGTAAACATTCTAAAGTTGCATATAATGCTTTATATTTTTCAAAGATAACAATGATGACACGGTCATGAGAAGTCCATCTCGTTGTGGAAAATGATTTTATTCTACGTATTCTTTCAGTAGGATAAATTAGTTTTTGGTACTTAACAAACTCCAATGTTCTCTTTCTAGCTCTCATAAATCCAATTAATGCTTGAAGATCACCAAGAAATTGTCTAGTGTGTACACTAGAATCAGCTGTATCTACGATAACTAAATTTAAGCGATGTGCAAAACACCATATGTATTTCGCCCTTGGATTTTCTTGCTGAATCATTGTGCGGAGACCTGAATATTCGCCTTGTATCGATGCTGCTCCGTCATATGACTGAGCTTATAATTGTTCTTTCCACTTCAAATCATATTTTTCAGAAATATTACAAAAAACTTCAAATAATCCTCTACCCGTTCCATCTTCAGCTGTTACCAGAGAAATTAGTTTTTCTTGAATAATCCCTTCAAAAACGTATCTAGCAATCAAAGTGAATTGTTCAAGATTGGCAACATCAGTGGTAGTATCAATTATAATAGAAAACATTTTTGACATTTTAATTTCATCGAATATAGAAGAACGTATTTGTTCTTTTAAAATGTTTAGTAAGGTATTCTGTGTGACATTTGACATGAATGTAATGTATTTTTCAACGTTTTCAAAATATTTAAAAATGATGGTTTATTATAATATTTATTTTTCGTAATCATGTAAATTATCCATCTGTCATTAATTTTTAAATAAGCGACTTCTGTGATTTGCTTATTTTGTTTTTTTAAATATCTACTTGCTGAAATATGTTTTTGAATTTCAATGCAATCCCCTTACTCATATATAAACATTGACTTGCACAGTGTCCAATTGTATAATTCGTTGTAAAAATATCGCCTATGAGTTCTTCATAATTATCTACCACTAATTGCATGTGAGCATATTTTATTGTAAAAAATTTATTAAAATCTACCGGTGACTATCTGATTCATTATTTTTAAAATATTTTCGTGATTTATTTCCATTTTTCTAACATCAAAATTTAAATCTATAGTTTTCTTATTATAACCAATGATATTTCTATTTATTTTGTTACTATTAATATTAGTTGAACAAGATTTATCATTTTTTGTGTTGTTAATTTCAGTTATATTTGTTTTAACAAAATTTGGTTGAGATGGAAATTCATAGTATATACAGCTATTATGTATACGTATTTTAGAATCTTTATTATTATTAAAAATTCCTGGGCGCCAATGATTTTGTTCGTGGAAAATACAAACAACTGATCTATTCGATTTCCAGTATATCAGTGCCGAATTTATTACTTCATTTTCTCTATGATCATCATGTATGATAATTAAATTTTTATTCAAAGTATTACAAATAAAAGCGAGATCTTCATCTGCATTATTATTAGGAATAAGTACACTTGATTGATCTGAACGTTTAAGCCAAGTTTTTAACCTAATCAAACAAATATATACTAATTATAATATTATTACTTTTTAAGTAATACAAATACAATAAACATAATACAAACAAATACAGCCCCCCTAGCCCCCCCTTAAATACGCCCCTGATACCTGTTGAAAAACCGTTTTAACAAGAACTCTGCTTAAATATCGAAAGAGATTGTTCTTTTGAAGTGATGTGGAAAGAACGTATAAGCGAGTATACATTGAACAAAAATTATTATATGATACAATCAAACAATTCGAGAAATATATTAATACACTAAATATTTTTGGTGCTCACACAAATACTACAGAAATAATTCCAGAAAATAATATTCTTAAAATTAATAAATTTGCCAAGTTCAATTTTTATGAGGATTTGTTAAAATTTTTAGGGCTTGAGTACGATAGCAATAATAATGATTCATTTATACCGGTAAATAATAGTAAAATTTTAGGAATAAAATCTCCGAACATAAAACTTACAAGCATTTTCTATGATATTGAGGGTTCAATATAAACAGAGAAAATGTTATATACCCTGAACAAAACTGATTACTCGATTGAACAATTAAATGCGTTTTTTCCAAAAACTGTGCAATTAAATATTGTAGATCATAAGATATTAGTCAAATCTGACCATTATTTTAAATTCGATAAACAATTATGTGATTCTTTAGGTGTTGAATATATTACAGAATTTATAGCAAAATGATTCTCTCCAATTGTGATAGAAAATAAAGTGTTGGAAGTTCATTGTGATATAGTGGAAAAATCATTCTCCTCTGTCAATGATACCCACCATGTAGAAGAAGAGCTTCCAAGCTTTCTAAGCTTCCCAAGCTTTAAATTACCATTACATCCGCGTAGTACAAGATTTATATGTGATGTACAACTTTTACAAGATCCAGCAGAAATACCAAACAGCTGTGAAATTAGAAACTGCCAGATGAACACTACAATTTTTCACATTCTACAGTTTCAAAACTCGTGGTTATATGTTTCCAGCGGAGAAACACTTTTCATCACATGCGATGCAGACAAAGAGTCCAGCAGCCATGCAATAAAAGGAGTTGGGATATTACGCCTCAACGAAACTTGTAAAGGGTACGCCACACGTGATATACTCATACCAGGTAAAACGAACCAGGAAAAACATCCTGATTTCATACCGAATTCCATACTAACAAATAATGGGAACTGGACCTCTCTTGCTATAATGAGAAACGAAGACATACTTAACAATATAATGGACGACCTAAATGAAGTTTCAGAAGAACATGATTTCTTACAATTTATAAACAACCACACAGCCGATTTTAAAACGATTAAACAACATATGGAATCATATGATTATTTCTTATATATATATATATATATATATATATATATATCAATTTCTATTGAAGGTTGTGGGCTTACAATTATATTCATTAACTTAATATTAACCAAATTACGACAATACAAGGAAAGAGGAATGGAGTGATGCATTTCATTAATATTTAGAAATGAACAAAACGCACCGACAGCACCAAACTCACCAATTCAATTAAGAACAGGGGACTTAAATGAAGAGGATCAAGAATAATCTTCACCTCTCTACCCAAAGTTAAAACAGACCTTTTAATATTTACAAAAATCAAGGATTATCGTTCTTAGAGAGGAGGAAACCGAGGTCACTACGTCATATCTTAAACTACTTTGTAACCTTACCTTGAATTGTTTTCCTTGAGCGTTGTCGAAAACACCTAGATTTTAAAATACCTTTATACTTGGAAACGGGTTATCAGTTAATATATTAAACGGGTACATTAGACAGTAAGAATATTAATATTATTTTTGTTATAATAACTAACAAGTTAAACGGGTAAAGCTGTTTTCGTATAAATTTTTGAAAGATTAATATTATTTTTGTTTTTAAAGAACAACAAACAGCCTTGAGTCTTTTCTTTGTTCTAAACTGCTTTTACGCACTACGCCCGACTATCTGTGTATAAATAGGGACGTAGTTTCAATGCTTAATGAGATATAATGTAACCAGACTTAAGAATAGACCGATACGGTTAAACTTATAAATGTTAACTTATCGGGCTACCGTTATATTGTTTCTCAGTAATATATTAAATTCACATTTATAACTTAAACAGTGTTTTTTTTTTATTTTACTTCAACGGATGTGTAATTTACTGCAACAAGAGGTAACTTCGTCATAAAACGTTTTGAGTCAGTTCTGATCAGACCGGTTCACTACAGTATTTAATATAAAAAATTTATTAGAGTACAGTAATTTATATTTATTGTGTGATGTTTATATTCTTGTAGATGTGTTCGAAAATTTTAGAGATCTTTGTTTACAAACCTTTAAATTAGATGCTTCTCATTTTATAACTGCACCAGGATTCGCATTCGAATGCATGTTGAAACATACAGAGGTTAAATTAGAACAGCTTAAATGTTATAATATGCAACTTATGTTAGAAGAGGGATACGAGGAGGTATTTGTCAGTCAGTTAAAATATATGTAAAGGCTAATATACCAAATATTGAAAATGTTGATTTTAATGAAAATAAACCGAATACATGGATAGCTTATTTAGACTATATAAATCTTTATGGAAAGTCTATGCTTTCTGCACTACTCTATCAGAATTTTGAATGGTTTGAAAATTTAACATTAGATGTGACAAAAATCGACGATAATTCTGATTATGGATATATTCTAGAGGTAGATACTGATTATTCTAAATCCGTACATAAAATACATAACGAATTCCCATTTTTACCTTATCCACCAAATTCTAAAGTGATAAAACTTCTCACAACATAAACTCCGAAAAAAAATTATGTGGTTCATTATAGAAATTTAAAACAAGCTCATGCTAATGGTATAAATGTAACAAAAGTTCATATAATAATCCTCTTTAAACAATCTAAATGGATGGCATCATATGTTGAACATTGTACTAATATGAGAGCCAAATCCGAAAATGAATTTGAAAGACAGTTTTAGAAACTATTATTTAATAGCATTTTTGGAAATTGTATAGAAAATGTAAGAAATGTCGATTAAATTATTTATTAGTAAAGAGAAAGCACATAAATTAATGAGGAAACCTTTTTTTAAAGACAGAACGATGTATTCAAAAGATTTAATGGCAGTTCACATGTATTAAGAAACAATTAAATTCGATAAAACGATTTATGTAGGGTTTGCTATATTAGATATTTCTAAAACAATTATTTATAATTTTAATTATAGTGTAATGAAAAAAAAAATATGAAAATAAATTAAATATTATTTATACTGATACTGATTCTCTTGTTTATGAAATAAAAACGGAAAATTTTTTTAAGGACGATTTATTTTCATATTTCGACACATCAAATTTTCCTAAAGACCATTATTGTTATAGCAAAGATCGAAAAAATCAGCCAGAGTTCTTAAAAGATGAGTTAAAAGGTTGTATTATATTAAAATTTATTACATTACGACCAAAACTCTATGCGTATAGTGTAGGTGATCAAGTAATTAAAACAGCTAAAGGTATTAAAAAATATGTAATTGATAAACATTTAAAAATTGATTAATACATTGAAGAATTGATGCACACATTCAACATAAATCGATTGATAAAATAATAGCATATCGTGATATGAATTATATTCAATCAAATAAACATAATTTTTTCAAAAACCACTAATAAATTAGTTTTTAATGCAGATGATGATAAGAGATTCGTAATGAATTAAAAGCTAAATATTAAATTACGTTTTTTTTTTTTTTTTAATAGCTATAATTAAAGCTTTAATTATATTAATTAATTGTTTAAAATTATAATATGTGTTCGATTAGGTTAAATTTTTGTTATCCACTTGTTAATCATACAACAGATATGCCGCATAGACCCGTTGCCCAATAAACAAGCCATTACACGTAAAATGATCTGACATATGTTTGATGGATGTTAACGAATTGTACGAATTACGGAAGGTTATTGTTTGCGCTTTAGATGCGCAAAGATACCATGGTGAATCTATTGTAAGCGATCAGTATATGTCTTGGTTTCGTGGTTTATATTATGTCGACACTACGCTAATTCGTCATCGCCTTCGTCTTGGACTGTCGTGGTGTTGACTTTTCGATTTTTTTTTTTTTTAATTTGTTTAAAGCTGCAAATCTGCACTTACCTAAAATATATATGTTATTAAATAAATAATATACTGTTTTATAATTTTATAATATTTGTTTTTAAGCTGTAAATTATATTCTATATTTATAATGAGTTATTTTATACATGTTAAAGTTATATATACTATTAAATAAACAATATAATGTTTTGTATTTTTGCTTTATGTAATATATTAAACAAATTTTTATAATTGTAAATATTAAAATACTTAGTATAAATAAATAAATATTGAAATTACTTTATAGACTATATTTAAATTCTCATAGTTTATTTAACAATATCATTAATATTTATCCATGAATTACAGTTATAACTATAACCTAACCACTTAACATACATTTTATTATTTTTTTTTTTTTTAAATACGTTCAATAAGAAAAGTATTATGAAATTTTGGTTTTCTAATTTCTTCTTTAAAGAAACAACCGGTTATTATACTATTAAAACTATCCTTTAGCTGATAAGTTATTAGATTTGTATTTAAAATTTTAACAATAGTGAATATTTCCGTAGTCCAATTTATCCTTTACTAAAATTATGTTTATACTTTGATATTCGTACTTTGTCATTTATTTTTAATTTTAAATCTGGTTTTTTATATGTTTTTTGAATAATAGTTTTATATTGTATATTATCTGAATTTGATCTAGCTTCAAGCGGAGTACAATTAATTGTTCTATGTATTGTATTATTATAACTTTCAATTAATTTATCTAAAGAATTATACCAGTTCCATAATCCTGTTGCAGTAAAATGTGGAAACATTATATTTTTTATTGTTCGAATAACTCGTTCTACTATTCCAGCTGTTATACTATATAGTAGTGTATATATATATATATATAGTTGAATAATGTTTAATACTATATTTTTTCATTAAATCTTTAAATTGATTATTGTAAAATTCTGTACCGTTATCTGTTTGTATTAACTTTGGCTTATTTTTTTTTTAAATATTAGACATACCTCTTGTATTAAATATTTGAATTTAAAACCTTTACTTTTTTTAGAATGTAATTGCATATCTATTAAGCTTGCTTGCCAAAGATCGTCCTTAAATTGTGTAATAACTTTCAGTCTCGGAAAAGTTCTTCTTGCAGACTGATGCAATTCATTTGCTATATTTTCTAATGCAGACATTATTAAAAATAATATACGTTTATTTTTGATATTAATTGAATTTAATATGAAAAGAACAACACGATGCAAGTAAAACAAGAAAAGTAATTAATATATTTAGGAATAACTAAAACAAGTAAAAATAAATTATAATAAAAATGTGAGAGAGAACACAACACAATAGAGAAAGATAAAACATAATATGTCTTATCAATCTTTATATGATATGATAATGGAATACAACAATTTTAAATTAGCTTATATAATATATAATAATAATTATTACATTATATTTAATATTAATTTTAATATAATATTATTTTCACGTAGTTCTTCTAAAATAGATATAATTTCGTTATTAACACCTGTATTACCTGCATTTTGAGAATATGTTAAAAGATTGAGTCTTGTAACTAGTTCATTAAGATCATCGTAATACACCATTTGTGTTTTTGGTATTATCTGTTTATATAAACCAGAACAAAGTTTTTTCTGGATTCTGTCATTTGATATTTTGCATAATAGTTCATAATCTTTCCGTTTTCTCTTCGAAGAAACACTTTCAAATATTCTTGGCATAGTTGATAATCGTAAGTAGAAATCATTTAAAATTACGAATAAAAATAATAAAATTATTACGTAGACTGCATTACATATTATAAACAACGACTGAATGACACCATGTCCACCATCATAATTTGGAGGCACAAGTAATCAATAATATGAACAAATAATGTTAATAAATCTATTACTAAAAATAGAAAAATAATAATCTAAACGATTTTATTATCAAGTTGGTATTTACATGGTATATACATGGCACTATGGAAATGAAATATCATGTCCATTACAGCATTACCGACATCAATTGGCAATTCGCATCATATGATAACGATAACCAGTCTTTTAACGCTGCCAGTTCTAATCAAAGATTAATTTTTAATGTGTAATTTTTAATTTTTAATTATAATTAATATTAAAGCTGATATTTTTAATTTGTTTAATGTAGTTATCTAGGACTGAAGTTTAATATAGTCTATATATATATATATATATATATATATATATATATATATATATAGACTCTAGATATATATATATATATATATATATAGACTCTAGATTGATGTTCATGGGACTGAAGTCAGGAAGAGGCATCAACATTAAGCATAGGCGAGGGCCTATCGGGAAAATCCCGATTTTCCTGTGGACCTATCCGCCAATGTTTATTTATTCACCCAATTTATGCTTATGCGATATAAGTTATATCGCATAAGCATAAATTTAAAATAAATTAATTGCGTGTAATCAATAAGATGTTGCAAGGAAGTCGATTTGAGAAGTTACATTTGAGGTCTTAAAATGGTACTCGCAGAGTAGTTAGAATTCTGTATTTTCTCACAGGGCAATGCAGAATATATTATTTTGTTATTCACTTACGTTGAAATTGAAATATGTAATATATAAAAAACTGCTATTTATTTACTTTATAATGTTAGCTTGGGTGACTGAAAAACTTCGTTTTTGTTATTTTTTATTTATTCTCTTGACTAACGCCCGTAAGCAAACGAGTGTACGTAAGAACTATGTTTAAAATCCGAATTCGCTTGTATCAACAATTGTACGAACGCGATGAAGTCGGAAGACGTTGTCGATTGAATTTCGTGGATAAATTATAGGGTGTTGCGGAACCCCCCCCCCCCCCAAACAAAAAAAAAAAGACCAGGAGCTGACAGTCTTTCAGTCGGCCACTGCTCGCACCGCGATTCTAACGTCGATGCGTATGCAGCGATGAGCATTGTACGGCTGGGGGATAACAATAATGCGGTGGTGTTTTATTTTTATTATCACATTTCTCGACATTTCTCATTTATTCGAAAAAGCATTCGCGAGCGTGGGGTCGTGAGTACACGGATACGCCCGTCAGCCGGTCTCATACGTGGTGGTCGCGCATCGAGACGCGTATGGCGACCAACTGCTGTTCCATTTGATCGCCGCACCCTTGCACGAAATGGCCGGTCTTGCACTTGTCCTGTAGCATCTGGATGCGGTGCAGCACTCTGGCCAGCCGCACGGACGTCGTGTCCCTGCGTAACGAGCCGTCTGTCATGCGGTCCGGTGACACGTCCGCCGGCTGCTGCGCGCACGGCTGCTGCTGAACGATGACCAGACTCGCCTGCCGATCAAGTGACAACGGTAATCAGTGTTTAGATGATCAGTGATGATAAATGATGATGATTAGGCTTGTCTGGCACGTACCGGCCATTCAAACCTTGCCCGGAGGCAGTCGTGTCCGAAAAACCAAATTAACACTATCTGCCACCCCGACGGTCGCGTACCGTGTACAGTGTATACACCCAGGGGTAGAACTAGGGGGTTGAAGACAGGGATTCATCCCTGGACGTAAAATTTTAGAGGATGTAATTTTTATAATTATTAACAACTAATTTGATATTTTTCACTTCGTTAAATACTGTTATTAGATTAAAACTCAACAAGTATGATTGTATATTACCCACTGTGCAATCGATGTTTTAAAACATCCTAAAAATGAAAATTTTAAGTAACATTTCTAACATAATTTTTAGATGTTATATTTATGTTAAATAATTGTTTAAAAGAAATAAGTTTAAAAAGTTCGGTGAATTAACAATTATTAAATGTATATTGTTTAAAAATATATACATCAAATTAATGTAATCCTAAAATATCATGAAAATGTTTTATTATCATGGTGTTTAATAATAATGTTAAAATTACATCCTATTTATGTTTTTTACAATGAATTAACACGTTGAGAGTCTCGATGCACATGTAACCTTACATGTAATCGACTCGCGTTGCCCGTGTAGCTGCACCTAAACTAGACCGTGCACAACGTCGGCGATCAGCGCAAGACCGTAATTACAGCCTATATTCATTATTAATTATTTGATGAATGATAAATACAATAAATGTATATATCGATTTGTTGTACTTATGTATTGAATATTATGAAATAAAGTATTCTCAAATTCAACTGTTTTATTTCGTAATACAAATAATTATACCTATTTGTAAAATTACACAAGTTTCGCTGTACAAAAACTATATTTAAATAAAATTATATTTAATAATTATTATAACATTACTTAAATAATAACTATTATAACTTTGTCTGTGTGAGTCATTAAGACATTAACCAAGAAATAAGTTACAAAAATACATCATCGCGGTAGGTCACCTTCATCAATGATTTCCAGGAAAATAACCACAACATTACTAAAAATAAACGAAAACGAAATCCAAATACATCGTTTAAAAGATAAAAACGAAAGAATTTCTCTGAAAACTGAGAGAATTATAGGACCATAAATTTATAAAATAAAACCCCTATGAGTATATATAATATGTTATTGTTGTGTGTTGACGCGCCGAAGCGCGGGGATCACGTTGCGCGACGGCTGACCCATCTGCCTGTTCAAAACTGCAACGAAAATATTATCACTCATAACGTATGGAGTTGATCAGTGATCACTGTTTTATTTTTATTTTACGCATTTACGCAACTGTTGAGTGTTATATAATCGTTTTATACATAATACACATTGTAAAATGTCAACTAAAAAGGTAAGTTCAAAACGCCACGCCACATGTGTTGTCTTCATCTTACATATATAGGTACAAGTCGTATAAGTGTGAAACACTGCAAATTTTCCGTATTGCTAGTTTTTAGCTTTAATATTAAAATAAAATAAGACTGAGACAACACATGCGAGTGCGATGTTTTCTCTTTATTTAATAAAATAAATACATGGAAAGGTTTACATTTACGTCATGTAGCTGTATATAAATGTTTTTTTATTTTAGAATAAAACGACATGGGTCATAGTTTTATTTTGCATATCTATAGTGTAGTACCGACTAACTGGCTTGTGCAAAATGAGACATTCAATTTAACAAATTGTAATGTAGAGTATTGTTATTGGCTAGCTGGCCATGTTACCAGCTTGGAAATATCTGAAGCTAAGAATCCAGAACAATCGTGGTGCAAGTACGAGATCAAATTACTTGGAGGAAATAAAACATATGGTATGTATGTCAACTTAATTATTATACCTATGTAAATAAAACAAAATAAAATAACTGGTATAAGTTAATCCTAATAAACAATAAAAAGGAATCAGTTATATTGGGTACTACCTACCTACATCACATTACATTTTCATATATTTAATTTCCTTTGATTCTTATATAGGTAGGTACCTATTTGACTTAGGGGAATTATTAACCAGTTAATATAAGACATAAATTCAGATATTATATTATCTACCTATTTATTATTAACTTACCAAATTATTTTCTGAAGTTTTTTAATTTTTAATGATCTTAAGTATTTAACTGTACTAATATTTTAGGTAATTTCAAAAAAGCATGGCATATTAGAGTGGCAAAGGAATCTGAAAGTGAAGAATTTCAACTACCAGCCAAACGAAAACAAACAATATTTGATTTGACAGATAGTAGTAGTGATGATAGTATAGGTAATTAAAAAAAATTGTTATTCTATTTTTTAAACCATTTTAGTTACATATTTTATTTAAACTATTATCAATTAAGCATAACTGCATAATTCTGTTACTAGGATTTAGTGTAATACCTTTACAAGTACAAAATAAGAGACATAAGACATACACAGATTTACAGACAGTTGAGACAACTCCTTACCATTCACAACAATCAACAATGGATTCGCCTGCCGTTCATCAACCAGTTTCAATGTATCAGCCTTATAATAAATTGACTACAGTACATCAACCTCCTATTATTCCAGATGTACAGCTAATTCTATTAATTTAATTTATATAAATAAAAATAATTTTAATTGATAGGATTATATTAAACAAAATTAATTAACTTACCTATATAATATAATATTCATATTTCTTTATTTAATATCATTCAATGTGCATAATTAATGTTAAATTCAAAGTGTATGGCTTATAGTCTAATTACGATTCAAACAATTTATATATGGAATTTAAACAAATAACAATTTTTTACTGGTCTTATTTATTTAAACATAAGTCTTTTTTTATTTGTATAGTCTAAAAATACTGGTGTACAGCATACTATGGAATCTGGCACATTAAGTAACTACATAGGTAGGTACAATTAAATTTATAATAAATTTTCATTATAGCTAGCAAAATACTTTTTTTTTATTGGTTTAAGCTCTAGATATAAAACTGACGAGTATTATGCAAGAACAAATTTCCACCAATCTTATGATAAATAGAATTTTTGCTAAAATAAAATAATGGAGGCAAATTCGAAAAATAAAGATCAAATTAATGATACCTCTATCTGCATTGATTCACAATTTCTTTCATATTTTCCCTTAAAAAATGCTGAAGAACTATTTTAATGGAAAATCGGATCAATGATGAGTTTGAGTTTGTTCCCAAATTGGTAATATCATATATTACTATCTATGTTCTTTAAACATATTTTTTAAACAAGATTAAAATTTATTTTTAGGAATCTTTTATAAAAAATATTGGAGGCAATGATGCTAAACATCATGTGAAAAGAGTTATGAACAAGATATTTACAGACGAGTATTGTGTTAAAATATCATAGATTGGCCGTGGTTGGGCAACAGACATGACCAAATTAAAAGAAACATCTCTAATTAAAATAATTCAAAGTAAATTTAATATACTTTAATTTGTTTCAAAATTCAGTTGCACTTGCAAAATTATTTGCTTAACTGTAAATGATTATATTCATTGTACTTTATTATATGATTTCCACCCATAAGTTATTCATAAATATTTCTTTATTTTTTTTTACTATTAGATGTCATTCAAAAAAGTTCTTCTACAGTATTTACTGATTCTCAATTTGAAAAAGCAGCCACTGAACGACTCAGGACAGCCAATACAAAATTCAAAAGTTATAAGAAAAAAGATAATCCAACAGTACCTTAAATATAAATTATTCATTATACATTAAATTAGTTAATTTACATATTGATATTGTATAAGCTGTTAAATCACATAATTTTTAAATTTAAATAAAGTAAATGATTACTAGGAATTTGATATTATTTACAAAATAAGTGTTTTATTGTTTTAAAAATAAAAATATTGCATTTATTTTATTTGTATTATTAAATAGAAATAATATAGGAAAATCACATAAACCTAAAATGAATTAAAAATTAACTGTAAGGTGTCTTGAGGTTTTCATATATGGAAGATGTAAAATTATTAAAAAAAA